TAAAGGCTGCATCGTTCATCAGCAACAGCTGAAGCTAACGTGAGCCTCCTCAAAGTCCAAAGATCCCTCCACAAACCCTCCTCCCTTGTTCGTCCCTCAGCGGCACAGATTCCTGGTTCAGTCAGCGAGGGAGGGGGGGGGGGGTCAGAGCTATACGTGGGGGAGGGTCACCAACTCCCCGTCCACCTCGAACTCCTCGGCTCCGTCGGGGGAGAAGAGGTAAGTGGGGGGTTTCCAGGGGGACTCCTCCAGACAGGACGGGTACAGCTTCCCCACCGCACAGCGGAAGTCCTTCCCCAGGTCCCAGAGCACGCGCTCGGACACGGGCTGCCGCAGGTACCAGCGGTCCAGCTCCATGTCGTACTGGTAGATGGCGTACTTGGCACGCTCGTTCATGTGGGTCTCGCGCATGAAAATGCACAGCGAGTTGAGCAGCACCACCGCGCGCAGGCACGGGTCCGAGTAGCGCTTGGCGGGGATGTTGGCGGCCTGGCGCCACTCGTTCTTGTTGACGTCGTAGATCTCCACAGTCACGGAGGAGCCGTCGATGGTGCTGGTGGGCAGGCGGACGCCGGAGTTGCTGACCACGTGGAGGCCGCCGATGTAGAAGACGAGGTCACCGAAGGATGCCGCGGAGGCGAAGCAGCGGCTGGTCTTGCGCATGGCCATCTCCACCCAGGTGTCGGCACGCGGGAAGTAGCAGTACATCAGGTCGTGGGTCATCACGTAGATGCGGTCGTGCGCCACCACCGAGGTGCTCCAGTTCCAGGCGAAGGGCAGCGGGCTCATCATGCTCCACTCGTCCTTCTCGCAGTCGTAGCGCTCCACCGTGCGCTTGTTCAGCTCCCCACCCACGTTGTCCCCGCCGATGGCGTAGATGTAGCCCTCGCAGTGGACCAGCGAGGGCTTGATCCGGGCGCACAGCATGGGGGTCTTGGGCACCCAGGCGTTCTGCTGGGCGTCGAACCAGAAGAAGCTGTCGACCGAGCGGAAGACCGCCTGTAGCTTCCCGCTCTTGCCGTGGTTGGTGATGGAGTTCTTGAGGGGGATCTGTCCGCCGGCGATGAACACGTCGTTGTCCGGCGTGACGAGGGTGCCCACCTTCTGCAGGTCTCCCGGGGGGTTGTTGAGCTTGTACACTTTCTCCGCCTGCGGGCTGTAGCACACCACCATAGTGGGCAGGGACCCGGACATCACGTACCCGTCGCCCTGCGTCTCTGACATGGCCTCCATGAAGATGAGCATCTCCTCCTTGGTCATGCCCAGCCGAGGCTTGAAGAACTTGGGCATGGACTTGTAGAGGCCCTGCACCACCACCGACTTGTCGTTGGGCGGCAGACCCTGGAACCAGGCGCGCTGCGTCACCTCGGACAGCGCGTCGATGCGGATCTGACTGAGCACGGAGGACAGGTGCTGCGAGCGCGCCTCCATGTTGTACTCCAGCCACAGCATAGCCGCCTCGCGCACCGTCTCCTCCTTCTCCACGTTGAGGTTGTCGCTGCACAGGACGTCTACCAGCAGCTCGTGGGACAGCTGGAGGAAGGCCTCCTGCCGGTACACCATGGGGAACTTGTGCTCCACCATGCGCTTGGCGCACTGCTTGAGCTCGCTGCAGCTGAACAGGTCGCCGATGCTCAGCATGCGGACACAGTTCTCGGCGTTTATCTTCTTCACCAGGTAGTCTCTGCACTGCAGCAGGACGTCCTCCACCTGGACAGAAGGACAGAAAACATTTCTCTTTACATCAAGGAACACATCTACCGAAGGGGAAACACCACCAGTAGGTAGAAACTTCTATTTCGAGTCGTCTCGGACCTGCAGGAAGCAGGCGGTCTCGTACAGCGGCTCCACGGTGCTGTCGCTGATGGCCAGGTTGCCTGTGTAGGCGTAGGTGATGATGATCTGCAGCGTGGCCGGGTCCACGTTCCTCAGGTGGACGTGGGTCTGCTTGCTCTCGCTGAGGCCGCTCATGAACATCGCCCTGCGGGAATGAGACGGGGGTGGACCGTTAACAACAACAACACGACTGTTGTTACCGAAGGAGGAAGTGAACCACGAGATCTCACACTGATGAAGATCACGTCCACGAAGACAGTCTTGTTAGAAGGATTTTATTGGACACAGAAATTAGAATACGAGTATTTAATTGTATTTTCAGACCTCTAAATACTCCTTTTGTATTCAATTCAAAGCCCGTTCCTTCTTATCTGGAAGTATCTGTGGTTTCTGGTCAAAGACTTAACAAGACGGGTCAACTCCCTTTAGTGGATTGTGGGTAATAAAAGTCCCAGGTTCAGTCGTGTTTGCCATTTCTCCTCTTAAACAAACAGAACCTCTAAAGACGGCTGTAAAAACAGACGGAGTCCCCGACCGGGACCAGGGAAGTGAATGCAACGTTCACGTTGTCATTTATTTAAAAGCTACTGAAACATCATTACGTTCATGATGAATGCGCTGGATAACTTCCTTTAAAACTATTTGAGATGTCTGAACCCAAAACCAGAAGATATTCAGTAACAGTCATTTGGTTTGTTGGAGAAGCTGGTAGACAGTGAGGCATTTTTGCTTTCAATTTTTGGGATTTTCTGTCAATTACTGCAACGTTAAGTTTCAAAAAAGTCATGAATTCTACATGAATGTATAGACTTTTATCTTCCTTTAGAAACTATTTATTCATTTAAATTCTTTGACATTAAGTTTTAATATTTTTTTAACCATTAAAACAGAAGTATTCTTGGTCTTAAAGAGCACGAACGAATACTTTATTTAAAGCAGATGTGACAACTGACTTTATTGTCTGTCAAAGCACGTTATAAATGCTGTTTTTTTTTATAAGAAGCTATATAAAAAAAATTATTATTATTATTATATTGGACAGTTGTTGTACACTGATGAGCGTTTCCATTAATCGGAGCCTCTTTAACCTCTTCAGCTGCACCCGTAGAGCCGTTACCGGCTTTAACCGGTAATTTGCATTTATTATGGAGAGATGTCTTTGGCGCCAGAATGTTCTTAACTGCAGCGATGCACAGAATGTGACGGTCATCCTTCTTCACAATAGCTGCTGGGAACAGTGAACAGCTCCAAGAGAAGAAGAGGTTTTGAACAATTAACCTTTACAGATTAATTTACTTCTAAATGGATTACAATATACAGACTGGGCTTCTAAAGGTGCTTCAGTGTTTAATGAATCCATGG